ACCTGGTTGGCCATTAGTCTGAAAAGAACTTCTGACCAAAAAATTGCCTGTTTCTGTCGCGTTTGAATGAAATGAGTGGAAAAGATAGTGATTGTCTCTGGATGGTTTTGAATTAATTTAAAGTTTTTAAGAATGATGGGTTTAACTGAGTGGTTGTGAGGGTGAAACGTGAGAGTGAATGGAATGCGGTCGGAATCTTCCTTTTGCGACGTTTGTAGTGCTGAATGTCGATCAGTAAGTTGGGCGCGGTGGTAACCCGCTTGAACGACAGAATCAGGGCAACCACGTTTATCGAAAAACTGGCACATTGACTCTGATTTGTGGTGGAAATCACAGTCATTACTACATAAACGACGAGGTCTTAGCAACTGAGAAAAAGGAATGGAATTCTTAACGTGAGATTGATACGAAGACGAATACAACAAGTAATTATGCGAGTCTGTAGGTTTGTAATACACACTAGTGCATAAACCGTTGCCTTCAATTGAAAGTTTGATGTCTAAAAAAGATAAAGAATTGTCAGAAATTTCCCAGGTATATTTCAGAGCCGGGAGAAAAGAATTGACTGCGGAAAAGAAGTTTGTTTTGGCCAAGGAAATTAAAGTCGCGAAAAATTTGAAGAGCGTGTTGGCTGTCTTAAATATATGATGGTAAAGTTTTGACGATGGCAGCCATAATTTTGTCTAGATAGCTGGAGATAAACTCGATAGGGCAACTGCAAGCCGAGACAGTGGGCCGACCCGCGTTGTTAGGTTTGTGAATTTTAGGTAAGAAGTAAATACAAGAAGTTCTATGAGTGGTTATGATGAGATTTTTCGCTGTGGCCGGGAATTCTTGTTTAGTTATGAGTTGTTTGATCGTATTCTTGACGGTGTTTTGATTGCTGGCAGAATCCGGCAACGGCCGATGAAGTTTATATGGCTATAAAACCTAGTTTTGGTGAAAGTGAGAGTGGCTAAACGGAATGCTAGGTCTTCACTAATAGGGGGAAAAAGGAAGAGATAACTTACGATTTCCTGGCGTAGCTCCTTTCTGAGTTTCTTGAGGCTTGGCATGGTCCGCTGTTATGAATGCTGTGGATTGAAAAATGCTAAGACAAAAGTTAGTGGTCGCAGCAATCAAAATACAAATGAATAAAGGCTGATAGTTTCTAAAGAAACTGTTTGGCGAAACTCTTTTTTAGGAACCTTGATCATCCCTTCATTGTGAAGTTGTACGGCGCAACACTTGTTAAAGAGAAGGGTGAATCAAGAGCAATCCTTGTCATGGAACTCTGTAAGAAGAACCTGATGAAGCACATTAACGAAAGTCGGAACCGTGTACCTGGCCTCTCTGCAACAACTTCTGCCGCTGCAAAGAACGTGATCGGATGGAAAAAAGACATTGCTAATGCTCCAGAATTCATGCATAATAAGGGAATTATTCACAGAGATCTCAAACTGGAAAACACATTGGTAGGTAGGAGTTAATCAGATGCGTGCACAATGATAGAGGTCAAGGGTTCTATCGTCCTCATATAAAGGAACGTAACAAATAGAAATAGCCTCTGTCGAACACTGCTGCCATATTCTTGATATTTATCCGTGTTGATGTTGGGTAGGTGGGTGAATGGTTAAATGGATCGATGCACTCACATAACGATGGACTCTCTATCTGAGTCCTACAGTCCCACACCATGAAAGAGAGGCTAGTCTCCCGTCACAATAACTTCTTGTATAGCGATCTTCTCATAGTTTTGGCTATGTGCGAGCTGTCAATATTTCGTGATATTGCCGTATCACTTTTGCGGCCTTTGATTGGTTTTTATTTTGAAATTGACGTCGTTGTACTAAATTGGGTTGCTGACGCACACAAACAAATTACCGCCGCACTCAAATGATTGTACAAATATTTTACTTCACGTTCAACAGTATTTATTGAAAATTCGACTTTTACAGTCATAAACATTGCTTGCTCTGGAACTCTTCAATTTCATCGTATTCTAGGATGACGATGCTTTTTTGCCTCTTATTCAGCTCATTTTCTGTACTTTTCCGCCCACTATTTTCGCTCGAGGCGGCTGTTTCGGTTTTCGCTTCGACGTCTTGTACATCGATGTCCTTAAATAACTCTTTAAAAACAGTGCCACAAATATCAAAAATATTTCATCACCAAATGGCTCTTCGGACTCCATTCCTGTGTAATTTTCATCACTTTTCGGTTTCAATCAACTCATTTTATGGTAACAAAGACAATAAATTTAAACCTGCGGGGAATTTCAAGTTGCCCGCCACAAAATTATTTGCGCGCGAAATTAGTGTTACCATGGATACGTTTCGCAGGTAGAAAGAACTAATATTTCGATCAGGCGCGGATTGATTATTTTACAGTTTTATTTATCCTTATAAAAGATGGATCGCGATGCAAAACTAATTACGATTTTGAGACTGTAATACCACATTATATTGACGGCTTCGCAACTCCACAGACAATAAAAAATCGCAATTTGACAGCAAGGATAGAGTAGTAAAAGTAGGTTACTGATATGGTATTTATTGTTTGTTGTACTTGTTAGTTATCTCATGATGACGCTGTCAAGGTAGCCGATGTCGGCCTATCTAAAGAGGAAGACATGATCACAGGTACTCAGATGGGAACTCCTCACTACATGGCTCCAGAGGTGGCCTCCTTCAAACACTACGACCGCAAAGCGGATATATATAGCTTTGATGTAATGCTATGGGAGATGTGGTATGGTAAGAGAGCCTTTAAAGGCATTCATGTATAACACCGGAACATGTTAAAGACAGTGACGGAGCCTCCAAAGGAATGGCAAGGTCTGGTGCAGCGTTACTAGGATTGGAAACCAGACTGTCGACCGCACTCCACAGCATGTCACGAAAAGTTAATCATACTCTACGAAGAAATAAACGAGCCAGTGTTAACACACCGATAAGCCAAACCTCTCAACGAAGCCTCCTTCTCTAATACGCCGACCGTGCTGATTTTTTTTTTCATATGAAATGTCGTCTCTAAAAAACCCAATACCCCTCAAACCATAATCAAAAATTGCAAAAATTTTATTTCAGTCAATAATTTGTGTGGGACAGGGTTACAAATATTTTTCTATTTGAGGGCCTCTAAGAATCCATTTTATATCGATATTGTGTAGGCTTACAAACAAAGAAATGAATATTGTAAACTGTTTTCGTTAAATTTGAGCAAGTAGTAAAGAATTAAGAAAACTTTTAAGCAATTTGACCCACGGTAATTTTTAAAGGTGCAGGTTTCTAATCAGTAAAAAGAAATTATACTACGAATAAATAAAGTAAACAAACTAACAAAAAAAAAAAAACAACAACAAATTCAACAACGGAGAGAAAAGACAACGAAAGTTTGAGTTCTATTAGAGTTTGGGCGTAAAGGAGGCAATTGGTTCCACAATTTTTAAGGACTTGCGATTGTTGAGATACTAACCTCCTTTTTGACAAACATTGAAAAAGGATTAGCTCTGAATGCAATCATCAAAACTTCGTTGCCCGCTCTTTTTTTTCCATGGACCTGTACCTATTTTTTATTTATTCTCCTCCATATTTGCTTATGGCGTGATCAGTCACGCTTTGACTGTCGGACAAGTTCACACAATGATCGTCAGTGGCAAGGATGCGTAACAGTGTGCTACCCTAATCAGACACTTGGTGTGTAATGGACTGTGATAAATGAAGCGCAACTTTTAAGGCTTATATTATCCTTTTTCGGAGTTTTCCTAGCTTTTAGACCAAGAACTGACTTAATTTTGATTATAAGCGTTCAAGTTATCGCTGTGCAACATGAATGTGTTACCAGACATTGACAAGATCGACAACGTCGTAAAGATGGCAACCATAATGAGGTCGTTAAACATTTCGGCCGTTGGGCTGTAATCGTTAAACGAAATGAAACAAAAATTAAAAGTGACACTCTGGTCGTCAGAGAAAAAGTCAAGTTGGACGGCAAAGGAGGTGAGAATTCTATAATTTCCTTTTAAAACACGTCGGGCTACCTGCAAGTTCAATTCATGTATAAACGACCTTTTCTGCAAAATGGCGGAAGTATCTATAAATTATAAATGATAAATGCTGTTTGTATCGGGCAATTCAGTCCCGAATTGTTTAACAGCTCTCTCGACGCTTATTTAGCCATCGTTTACGAGTTATTTCATGTGGATCTTTTCAATGATGGCATTTCAGAAACGAGTAATAATAGAAGAAGCCTAATTGCTATGGATGGAAATCGTAGCATTCACTCGTTCGCCAAAATGTTTCTCTAAGTTCACACTTAACAATACGTAGAGCTAATTACCAGGCCGTCTATTACTTATGGAAACTTTCATCAACGATCCTTACAACTGATCATAAGTGTCACCGAAATGTTTTTAATAAGAAATTGATAAGTTGAGCTCCCACAGTGAGAGATTACCATGCATATTGATGCTCAAAATTTGGCAAGCTTGGTTGAACAACGATCGAGCCTCGAAGGTTCAACTTGAGATTTATGGCACTTAGAACATCGAGGATTGATAAATTTTGGTCTGATATGCTTCAATTCTGCCTTTTCCTCGTGCCCCGTGATTCAAATTCGGAAACTTAGAACCCTTTGGTTAAATCTTGCTGATTGTATCAGGTTTACATTTTGTTCGAAAAGCTTGGATCATAATTTATGCAAAATATGTGACGAAAGACTTAAAGTCCAGACTGGCCTAATGCTTTTCTACGGTGAAAAGAAGCCACAATTTTTTCTACTATTCTTAACTGTCACCGAAGAGTTGGATTCCTTTGCTGAAGGTGAATCGTTCGGGAGGATCTTGGCAAGGCCTAGCCTCCTTTAGCTAAACATCATCATTTTCTTTCGTTCACATAATACATGGATATTTACATAAGTATTCATGGATAACGTAATGAAAACGCTAGCCCATAGATGATTGCATTGCGGTTGTTTTTTCAAGCTTAAACCAGCCTTATGAATGTGAGTATGCCCTGAATTAAGCTGCACTCAAAACAGCGATGTTTGAGCGCCATAGAAGGAATGTTATTAGTAACAAAGATTTCAAAAATGACTGTAAAGCAGTAAAATTAACCAATTAGGCAGAAAAGTGATCTTTAATTTACTCAGACGAATGTTGATCCATAGCATTTAATTTGCCTTGTGACATTTATCAGGCGTTTTCAGTGTTGACGGAGGCAAAGAAAGAAGACGAGAAAAAACGAGCAACCTTGCTCGATTTCTACAAACGCTCGGTTCTTTGTTTGAACAAGATGGATGAGAAGGTTCAAACCGTTTTGGAAAAGAACATTGCAAACCTCAAGGACAAAATCGTTTCCCACCAAAAAGATCTTCTGCAAAAAGAGTACATTGTTCTTGTTGCAGGTTTGTAATAAATAAGTAATTAAGTTGATCGCCATTCCTTTTAAATTTTAGTCTCGCCAACTTCCTTACGAAATAGATTAGAACTCAAGACTGGATCAGAAAAGATTATACCAATCCAATGGCGGACAGCACAAAGAATAGTTTTGTACGAAAACAATCAGAAAAAGAGGGGAAATTGTGTTTCATTTGGGATTTTAGGTGTAAATGACCGGGGAACCAGACTCTTTTGTTCGATACAAATTTGGTGGAATCGACGCATTCTTACCTATGTTGTTTCCCTCTTCGGCCCTTATTTTCACCTTTTTACACTTACCAGGCGAAACAAGGTCAGGAAAGAGCACCTTGTTAAATCTTATCCTTGGAGAGCAGCTTCTTCCTTACTCTCTTCTTAGTACCACATCCGCCATTTGTGAACTAAAATATGGAGATACACCACAGCTGGTGGCACACTTTAAAGACAAAAAATCAGGGGATACCACAAAGACTGTCCTCTTAAAAAAGCCATCCAAAGCCTTCAAGCAGACTTACCTTCAACAGATTTCCACATTTCTCCACCTGAAGACGGACAGCGAAAAGGGTTCAGATTACGAAAAGGTTGAGCTGTTTTGGCCACACAATTTATTGAAGGTTAGAGACGAGCAAGGTCAGTTATAAATCGCGGTCTAAGAATTGATTTACAGAAACATAAAGCTTAAGAATGTTCGTGCATAAATGTATTTTACGTTATAAAGTGCATTTTAGCAAGATCTCCAAATAACTGAAAATGACACTAGGGATATTTGAATGCAAATTATTTGCCATTCTCCAGTTTAATCGCTTATCTTGCCTTAATGTGCATGGTTTTTGTTGCTGTTTTGTCGCAAGAATTTATTTTATAAGGGATTGTTCATTCACGTGTCAACTGAATTGTTACACACATCTCTTTTGACGCATCCTTGCTGGAGTCATGATCACTAATAACTGAGTAACATCAAAATCAAAAACTCAATGGAAAACAACCGTCTAACTTAATTCTTGTGATAAATTTGGCTCAGCGTGTCAAAATGTCACTCGAAACGAACGGACATACAAACAAGAGCAATTTTAGATCGTGTGTTGACTTCGTCTCGCTTTGTGATTGGTTCACAAAACTTGTGCCAATTCATCAATCAATCAATCAATCAGATTCGAAACTAAAACCAATCGCATATATTGACTCGCATCTTCCCCTGAAAAGAGTTGTTCGCCCATTGCCTTGTGGGATATCTTTCTTTGCTCCTCTAGGCTGCTGTAATTAATTTGGTTCTGTTTTTATAACAACCAATCGAAACGTACTCTAGATTCAAAGAGCTATCCTCTTGTACAACAAAGTGCTTGTTGCATCTCACATTTTACATGTCTTTTAGGAAAATGTCGTAATAGTCGATAGTCCAGGAATTGGGGAATCTCCCATCATGGACGACATAGTAAAGAAGTACCTCCCAGAGGCTTTTGCATTTATTTACGTCATTAACAGTGAAAACGCCGGTGGAATACAGCGAGACAGGGTAAGGCAATTTAAAATGCCAAATACATTCTTCTTGCCAAAATAGTTAAATTTAGGACCTGCATGGGTATTGCAAACATGGTATAATTTTTTTAATCCTCTATTTTTGATATGTGTAAGAGTAATTTAATGAAACTTAACGAACCCGATTTTCTCTCGCAGAGCAATAAACGTAAGGCATAACCTTCCAAAAAACAGATAACTAATGAACTAGCCCCCCCAAAGAAACAAGTCGACAAGTAGCTAATTTTCGTCTCTTTGTCTTCAGGTAGAAGAACGTTTCGGACACGCCAGACAGGTATTCCTTGAAAAACAAAGGGTATCTTTGTCAAACTGTGCTCTGTTTGTTTGCAACAAGTGGGACCTGTTGCCGTCAGGAGAAACTGATGAAGTGAAGAACTACATCTTGAGGAAACTCAAGCAGTGCTGGCCTAGTTTAGATCCAGAATCTCAGATTATTTATATGTCGGCAAAACATGCTAGTGAAGCCCAGAAGCTTGGAGTGGTCACGGAAGAGTTTGGTGAACTCATGAATGGTATTAAGTCCATGGTGTTGAAACTTGTTGAGGAAAGACTACAAATTAAAAGGAGGTAACTTGCTTTACATCCTTAACAACGAAATAATTGTTTAAGAACTTGATTCGCTTGTGATGAAAATGTCTTAGTTTTTAGTTTTTGCATGCTATGCATGCAAGAGTTTCTTTTTTTGTTTTTTGATGGGTGGGCCGAGTTGGGACAGTTTGAGTAACTTTTTGCCTCCTGCGTGTGGAGTACGTGATAACATGCAGAAAATGACACGTGGTGGAGTAAAGTCTAAGGTAGCTTAAGGCAATTTGACTGTTAGACAACATCAAAGCACTTGGGAGTTGCATGGAAAATTTATTAGCGGTAGCATTACGCTTTATGTGAATTTTTTTTAAAGTGGGTTAAGATTATGTCGTAGAATTAAGGCTGTTTACTAGAAAATGTTATTCTAACGGGGAAAGCCTAATTAATAATGACAAATAAACACATCATTCGTGGAGATGGAGAACTCCTAAAAGCAAAGAAACGGATTTTGACATTGTAGTTGGCATAGAAAGTAAACAAAACTTGATGATCTTCTCGACCTTGGCCAAAAGAGCAACCTCAAGGTAAAAGCAGCCTTATCGATCAAATATGCTTTATGTAGATGTTTTGTGCAAACTTTACCAGTGTCACCAAAACTAGCCCTTCCAAAACAAGCCCTTCCAAAACAAACACTACAGTGCTAACTTCGAGTTAGACCTTTCGTTTGGTAAGCACAGTAAAAACGAAGCGTTTTGACAATTACATTTCATTCACTTGCGAATCACGAAAGTGATTCGGGTCGAAAGGCCACAAAACGGTGAAACTAAACAAAAAATAAATCAAATAACAAAATAAATATAGAGGATAACTAAAGGACAACTTAAGACAAAAATTTACTTACATTCTGTGCCATACGAAGTCGAAGAAGATGCTTACAAAAACAATCAATACACACTTCAAACACATATATGAGAAACTCTGGCATGTGACCAAGTGTGGAATTATGTAAGAGAACACGAGGTGTTCAAAGGCAAGGAAACCTAAACAACTACAACAATACTGACAGAAACAAAAGAATAAGTCACATCCTAGTTTTAGACTAAACACCTTTTGTTGACGGCGCGTGCGTTGCAAATGGAGGAGCGGTACATAAAACGCGCTTTGGTGGAACAATTAACTGCCGACCTTTCTAACCCCGGCAGATCAAGGCGACGAAGTCATCACTAAGGACATGAAACATTACGCCGAGTAGATGAACTCAAAATTATTTGTTGATTTCGTTTTTGGTGTGCATCAGTGTTGGGCTGGTTCCACTGCAACACTTTGCGACACACTAATTCCGTGATTGACACGCCCTGATCGGGGCAAACATGCCCCAATTCGGCGATTTGATTGGCTCGAGATAGTACATAATGAAACATAGTACCTAATGTGGCAATCGGAATGGTGCGAGATAATACCCTAATGCGGCGATTGGTGCGAAACACATACCACTCGATACGCTAATATATGGTTATTTTTTTCAATGAAAAGATAGATAAAAAATACGCGTGCTTATTTATTCCCACTGCACTCGAAAAGCGTCAGGATATTTAATCGGCGACTGCGAATGATTTACAGACGTTTTGCAGAACGTAAGTGAATAGATTTTACAATACTTTTTTTTAATTTACTTGGTACTGATCAATAATCAGTCACAAAGATTAGAAACATTTCACTGGTTGTAGAGATGCAATGGGTACATTTTTTATTTTTATTTTTTTTAATATCTCTGTGTTAGCGTATCGAGTGGTATTTTGCTTGCACCAAGAAGATCGACCCATTAGGGTATATATCCCGCACCAATCAAATCACCGCATAAGGTTTTGTATTTCGAATCAATAAGATCGCTGCATTAGGGTAGGTATATTCCACCAATAAGATCACAGCATTAGGGTATGCTTACACCTATCAGAGTATTTTCCTTCATAAAATTAGGGTACCGCAGTATGTTGCGGTGGAATTAAAGCAACATTAATGCACATCGAGAGTGAGATATTTGCAAGTAATTGCGAGCTCATCCACTCAGCTTAGTAATGGCTCACGTCTTGTGTGATGACCTCGTCGCTATGATCTGTCGGGGTTAGAAAGGTTGTTAGGCAATTTTTCTACCATTTAGAAGTTAAAACGTTTTTTATGTACTGCTCCTTTCCTTTACGACGCACGCGTTGTCAGTTAAAGGCCCAAAACGGGAGCGTTTGTCTAGGAGAGGCTAGCTTTGCTGACTGAGGTAATAATTGCGCAAAGCATTTGCATAGAGCATATCGTTTTTGCCTTGTGATTGCTCTTTTGGCGAAAATTTGAAAAGATCAGCAAGTTATTTTTACTTTCTGTGTCGACTGCCATGTCCGTTTCTTTACTTTTAAAAGTTTCCTATGAACTACATCTTGTTTAAAAACGGAATTTTCCCGATACAGCAACTATACGTGGGTACACGACGAATGCCATTTTCCAGCAAACAATCCAAGTCTTACGGCTTAATCCTTCCCAACTGAAGAAAATTCACTTGGAGGTAAATGCTACTGTTAGTGAATTTTCGATGCAATACGTTTTCTATCGGACAAATTCGCATTAGCTACACATTACCTTGGACTGTACCCCATCACGTGCCAATTCCTTGTAAACAACTAGCACCTTATCTTATATTTCGCATGCGAAGTCCAGATTGGCAACAACCAAATGAGGAGCCCATATCCAACACTTTGAAAATATGATAATTTTCTGTTCGTTCAATATTTTCACTCGTTCGGAGAATGGGGACCGCGGTTAGAAGCTATTGGAGATAAAAGAGCGCATCGGTTTGCCTTCAAAGAAAAATTGTGTGGAAGAATATTTTTGAGGCAACTCTGCAAATGGATAACTTTGATTCTGTTTCTGTCGAAGGAACGGCAGTAAAAATAGTCTTATCCCGTGCAAGTGCGCAGGCCGTTACTCTTTGGTCGCGTTACACAACCGAGGGAGAGGTGCCGTTGCGTGACAAGACTAAGCAAGGGCTGTGGAGGACACTTTAGGAGTTGAAACGTAGCACCAAATCAGTATATTTTTTCTAACCAGTGGCAATACCCTAAAATACGTGTGTAGGAGTATATATTGATAAAATTGGAAGGTTCCTTTTCCCCTCCACTATCGTATACTTTCATTAGCATCTTTTGAAAGTAAATGATCTTTTTCTTTAAAAAAATTCAAACGTCATGAACTTAATCTCCCAATTCAAACCAACCATTCAAAAAACAAATAGCTTTTGCATGCGTAGCATGCCTATGTTTTTAGCTGGTATGTTAAAAAAATTTAAACATTCATTTCTGTTAGAAACATAGTGGCAGTGACGTTACACTTTACCTCACATGTTATCATAAGTCGAAAATCGGTTAAAAATAACTTCAAAAAACAAACAAACAAACAGCCGATATGGACATTGTGATATTATTTAAAATAGGAGGATGGTTCCCAATTTTAGATTTAAAAGTACAAAACCTCCCTAAGAGATCAGCATGCATAATTAGTTATCGTGACTATGCACGAAGATGAAATGGAAGATAATTGCAGTGATGGCTTTATTCTTAGATGGCTTGACTACGTCCTTGCACTTATGGTCTACCACACGAAAACGTTCATGCGCAATTCTTCCGGAGAAGAGAGAATGAAGTTGATCCTTCATGATATTGAAAGGTTGCAAGATGCCGTAAGCATGGAGATGCATACGTCTTTCAAAAAAGAGACAGACAATGTTGTAAGTGCGCTGTCAAGATACCTTAAGTCTCTAGAGGTTATGAAGCAGTTTTCTTCATGGACATTGACGGTGTTCAAAATACTGAACGCGCGGGAAAATTTTTACGAACAGCGTACTGTTTACAGCGTGGAATGTTCATCTTTCAGTGTTTTCTGATACGAATTTATGAAAAAAACATGTTCTTTCTCTTGTAGCAACCACACAATGCTTTCTCCTCTTGAATTAAATTTTAAACACGAAGGCGCGCTATATAAGGAAGTCTTCCCTGGGAAGACCTAGGCTCATTTGTCACTCACCGTTGACATGTGCGGGTCAAATTTAAATGCTGGTAGACGAACAAAACGGGCTAATGAGATATCTATTGTTTACTTCCACTAGCATGGTGGCATGAGGTAACCTGCGAACCACTTACTTCGATCTCAAATTTACCGCCACAAATAAAGACAGATTCCATTGGAGAAAGGAAATACAAATCTCAAAAATTCTTGTATTGTGATGAAGACATAGAACAATTTTAAGGAATGCGCCCGCAGTTCACTGCTTTAGAGTAGCTGTAGCTCAAGCTGACTTGACTCCAAGAGTTCCACATCACACGACGGTTGATTGACAAATGGTCCAGTGGGACCTAAGGCTCCTTTTATAGCGCGCCTTCGTGTTTAAGCGCAAAACTGGTAGTATCACTTGGATTGAAACCTCGTATAATCCCCATTTTTAATGGGGATATATTGGGTCACTTCATGTGTTTAGACCAATCGCAAGCGAGCAAAAATGTTTGATTGATTAGAATGTGTTTTAGCAACAGGGCATGCTTTCATTCAAAGTTTGCGTGGAAGTTGTTAGTTAAATTAAAGAATGCAAAGGTTTCTCAAAATGACTGTAAACTGCTAAAACTAACCAATTTAGCTAAAAATATAATCTTTGAATTTTCCTGCCGAATGTTAATGAACAGCATTTGTTTTACAGTGTGTCGTTCATCAGGCCTTTTCAGTGTCAGACGCAAAGAAAGGAGACGATAAAAAACGAGCGACGTTGCTCAATTTCTACGAACGTACAGATGTTTGTTTGAGCAAATTGGGTGGAAAAGCTCTCGCCCTTTTGGAACAGACAATCGGAAACTTCAAGGAGAAAATAGTCGCTCACAAACAAAATCTAAAAAAAGAAGAATTCACTGTAATCGTTGTAGGTACGTTGTTCTCGTTTTACACTGCTGAAATTGAAACTTCCGCACCCAATAGCCATCTCCCTTAAGTATGTCTTCCTCGAAAATAGTTCCTTTAGATAACAGCGTATGCTTAATCACTAAAAGTATCATCGTCTAATTAAACAGTCACTCGTATTGGTGCATTTTTAATTTCATGCAAACCCCAAGCCTCATATCATTTAATAATTCTAACATAACTTTTAATTCATCATTTAATTATCCAGTTTCCAGTTTCTATTGGTAATTACATGTTAATTGCATGCCGATAGGGCGCCATTTCCGTGACCATTTACTCAACCAATTTCCCCTTATATCACACATTTAGTGAGTGTGTCTTTATTTCTAAGTTTGTATAGTATTAAATATATTAACCAGTAGTTTCACTAGCAACCTTTGTGGCCTCCCTTGGTGTTGATGTATGGGATCCCATGAAAATGGATTCCCACCCCACTGATGAGCAAACTCGTGATCAGTGGGTAAAAAAAGGAACAAAGCGTATGCAAGGGTGGGAATGAGTGTGTAAAATGAACATAAAAGTTAGGTGTTAAAATTGAGGGAGCGACTTCTGTAACAACAGCACGCTCCTAAACTCAATTTAAAATTGTAAAAAATATATGTTATATATTATTAAAATAAAAAAATAAATAAGTAAATAAAATCAAAATAAAATAAAATAAAATGAAGTTAAAATATTATTNATCTTCTTCCAATTGTGCTCTGTTCGTTTGCAACAAGTGGGACCAGGTGCCGTCAGAAGAAACTGATGAAGTGAAGAACCACATCGTGAGGAAACTGGTGCAGTGCTGGCCTAGTTTAGATCCAGAATCTCAGATTATTTACATGTCAGCCAAAGACGCAAGTAGGGCCCAGAAGCTTGGAGGAGTCACGAAAGAGTTTGGAGAACTCATGAATGGTATCAAGTCGATGGTCTTGAAAAGTATTGAGTCAAGACTACAAATTCAATGGAGGTAACTTGATTTACATCCTCGATGACAAAAAATTGTGTAAGAACTTGATTTGCTAGTAATGAAAATGTTTCTTTAGTTCTATCAATGTAAATGAGAAGTCGTGTATCTTATTAAAATGTAGTGACATCATTTTTCTCTGGAAATTTGGAAAAGTAAGCAGTGCTAGATATCTTACAAAGGCCTCACATTACACCCACCCGTACGAGCTCTTAAGAGAAATGTAAGAGGTCAGGATATTTAATCGGTGGCTGCAAGTCAGAGTAACAGACATTTTGCATAGCGATAGGGAGCAAGTTTTTACTAGAATTTTTGCAAATTTATGTGGAACTAACCAATAGGTAGTCTTCTTGGACATACTTAAAATGGAGTTGGGAATTTAAGCTTACTGTCAATGTCAGCCAAAGATTTGAAACATTTCAATGGTTGTAAAGATAACGGGGTGAAAGTATGGTCGAGTTCTTTAGTTAATAAGTTAAGATTATTTAAACGTGCATACTAATGCAGTACCCTTACGGTTCACCTCTACCGATTACATATGTGCATAAATCGAAAATCGGTTGATAGTATGTGAAAAAAAAGTAGTTAATATGAACAATGCGATGAAATTTGAAATAGGACAATAGTTTCTAATTTGAGCATGTAAAGATGAAACAATTTTAATGTAATAGAAAAATCCGAGCCTCAGCTGGGACTTGAACCCACCACCCTCCGTGATCTAATCCGATGCTCTAAGCACTGAGCTACTAGAGACTCTATGGTAAGCAAGGGTCAATTTGTGGACCTCGACTGGAACTGCATCGCGCGGCTACACAGCCAAGTATTAGTCAGCGCCTGTGAAACTCACTAACAGCATCACGCTGTCACATTAAAGCATATCAAGATGCGGCCAACCAACCTCCAAAGTGAGCATGTAAAGATGAAACAATTTTAATGTAATAAAAAAAAGTAGCCGCGCGATGCGGTTCCAGTCGGGGCCCACAAATTGACCCTTGCTCACCATAGAGTCTCCAGTAGCTCAGTGGTTAGAGCACCCGACTAGATCACGGAGGGTCCTGGGTTCAAGTCCCATCTGGGGCTCAGATTTTTCTATTACATTAAAAGAGTTTCTAATTTGAGACTTAAAATTACGAAACCTACCTGAACGATGTTCATAAACAAACTGATATCGTAACCAAGCATGGAAATAAAATGGAAGACAATTACAATTATGACTTTATTCTTAGGTGGCTCGATTACCTCCTTGCACGTATTGCCTACCACACGAAAGCGTTCATGCGTAATTCTTCCGAAGATCGTGAAAATGTGATAGCGAGAATGAAGTTGATCACTGACCGCCTTCATAGCATCAAAAGGCAGCAAGGTACCGTAAGCGAGGAGCTGCAGACGTTCCTCAAAGACAAGACAGACAGTGCTCTGAGGGAACTGTCCAGATATCTTAAGTCTCCAGAATTTATGGAGAAGTTTTCTTCGTGGTCATTAGACGATGTTCCAAATACTGAAGGAAGTTGGGAGGTGACCAAGAGCTACATTCAAAAGTCGCTGACAAAGCGACTTCAAGAGAGGATCGTGGAATGGGAAGAAAAGAATCATGTCTTTTCCGATGCTCGGTCCTCTTTGATTCGATACTTTCGGGAGAGGTTCAGCTACGTCGAGGGTCAACTTCGAGCGCTAGAGGGCTCTCTGCTAGCTGGAGACACTGCCAGCTCAGCAAGTGGCCCTTTGGCATCAGATGACTTTAGCGTCGTAGAGAAAGTCTTCATCGGGGTCACAAGTCCAATTTGGGTTCCAGTCGGTCTGGTTGTCTTAGTGGTCAGTGTCCCAGTAGTTGGCGCCTTGGCCGTTAAAGAAAAGTGGGAGGACTGGAATGAAAGACGAAAGTACGAAAAAGACAAGTGTGGCTTCATGGCAAAAGCTTCCCAAGAATATCTTAAGGAAACAGTTGAAGAAAAACATCTAAAGTCCTTCGTGGTGGAACAGCTTAAAGAAGCTGAGGTTTGTCTTAAACAGGTCTTAGCTCGGATACCTCAGCTCATAGAAGCGGACAAGATGTTGTGTCAACAACTGAGAGAAGAAAGCCGCTCTAAGAAAGAGATAGAGGATTTCTACAAACCGTTACACGAGGAGAGTGTACAATTAAGGCATGAGATGGCCCTATTTGGCATCACAGAGGTCCGTACCATGGACATCAGTTGCAACGATTTGGAGTGGCAAGACGATGCGCTTCTTGGAGGTGGAGCGTTCGCTGCTGTTTATCGAGGAACATTGAAGATACGAGGAGACGATAAACCCGTAGATGTGGCTGTAAAAGTGTGGAACGAGGAGCTTAACGATGCTACAGCTCGTGGCTTCCTTTCTGACACAGAGATACTCAGGTTGGTTTTCTTATCCCTAGATCTTGAAGTTTTCTACATTTTCCCAATTTTCTTTCCTGCTCAAAGAGCTCGTGGTGGTGGGTTGCAAGGCATCAACTAGAAAGTGGAGAATGTAATAGGAAGACTTACGTATATGTAAATTAAATAATATTTTCCTCAAGATTTCGGAACGCGGGGAATTTAGGTATATATCAAGGCACATCGAGATAGTAATTGAGAATGACCTTAACAGTTGGACCTCTCACCATTCATTCTAGCAAGAGGTCTTTACCTTTGAAACACTTGAGTCACTTAAGAGTGACAAGCATCTAATTGTTCCATCCATCATCACCGCTGACTCAAACATTTACGTCATGAGAATAAGGGAAATGATAGCCAACAGAAACATCTCTTGACTAAGAATCAAAATCTTCCTTTTACTATCGGAAAATGTGTAGAGAATATTATAGAAAATATTCATACTGTTTTTTTAAGAGTGTAGGTTGTTTTACACATATGTGTTTTCCTTTTGTAGGAGACTGAATTATCCCTTTATTGTAAAGTTCTATGGTGCAGCACTGCAAAAGGAAGGGCATCAGCTGAAAGCAATACTGGTGATGGAGCTCTGCAAGGAAAACTTGATGAGGCACATTTTCCTGCATAAAACCAATATACCTGGTGAGTCATCATCATCTTTTACAGCCGCGAGGGATGTGATAGGATGGGCAAAAGACATTGCCGATGCTCTGGAATACATTCACAGACAAGGTATCGTTCACAGAGATCTCAAGCTGGAAAATATATTGGTAAGTTAAGAATTGGAACTAGTGGTTATCATGACCACACATCATATCTCGTGTTCTTGAGTTTTTCTTTCTAGTCCATTTTTTTAATTTAATTCCTGT